GGAACACAGATTATACATGGATTAATCTCTGGCAAGTTGAATCTTCTGGTCAGAGGACCATCCCAAAAATTTTCTGAGCAGGATATGATAATGGAAATTGTATCCATTTGGCAAAATCCAGAGCAAAATTTGATAATATCATGGCAGAACATTAATGCACAATGTGTACCAACAGCAAATAACATTATACCTATTTAAGGAATGAAATACAAAAGTAAACAATTGAAATTGTAGCAGATGCAATTAAGGAAGCCAGTCTCAATAAAGTCAGAAGGGTTCCACATTCCTTGTTATTTTAGCTATAACCTTGACTTTCCTCATGAGACACCCCCCACCCCCATGGAAAGGGAACTCAGAGCAACTTCTTGTTGGATTTCTAGGTTCCCCAAATGCAAATATTTCTCCGTGTAAGTTATCGGGGATTGCATTTGAGGAACCTAGAAATCCAGCAAAAAGTACCCCATGTTCCCTTTCCATCAGGGAATACACTGCTGGAGAAGAATTATAAACAGTGTTAGTAGACAATCTAAATGATCAACACTAAAAACAACTTAGGTCCTAGGCCTATCACTGTACTTCAAATATGAGTGGAAAACAAGGCAAGGAAAGACAAAGTCCTCTGGAATGATATCAGGACATTTTCTCTTCCTTGACTGTGGATCTTTTCACCTTGGTGTAACGTGCATTCTTCCTGCCAGCCTGGTGCCTGAGCTGCGTCAGTCCCAAATGAACACACAGGACAATATATTAATTTTAAAACTGTTGGCTGTTTGCTATGGTTTCTCATTGGTTAGCTCTGACTTAGCTATTAACCTATAACTGCTATTCTGAGTATTTCCACATGGTCTTCTCTTACCAGAGAAAGGGTCTGGACCCCTTACTCCTCTCACATCCTACATGGTGACTGACTGTGCCTCCATTTCCCAGAGTCCTCCTCGACTCCTAGTCCCATCTATCTTGCTTCTCTATTGGCCAACAGTGCTTTATTCATCAGCCAATAAGACAAACATAAATACAGAAGGACTTTTCCCATCACCTTAGTAGTGAATATGTGGTAACATTCACTTCTTACATCAGTACACTTTTCTCTTTTTTTGTTTTTCGAGACAGGGTTTCTCTGTATTGTTTTGGAGGCTGTCCTGGAACTCGCTCGGTAGACCAGGCTGGTCTTGAACTCACAGAGATCCGCCTGCCTCTGCCTCCCGAGTGCTGGGATACATCAGTACACTTTTACACCATTCAAGGTCTAGACAGCTGCACCCTGTGCTAAACGCCCATTCACCAGACACGAGTTTGAAACATGGCCAAGGGCATGATGGGAAAGTTGACCTCATACCATTACAACAATAAGAACTAAATGAGAGATTCTGTGCAATTTTCAAGGAACATTTTGGTATATTAATAGAGACGTAGATTATAAAAATCCAAGCCAAAGTCACGCTTTCAAAAAACATCCACTATTGAATTTATTTTCTTGGGACTAATTTGGCAAGCTATTCTAAGTAAGATTAATGCCAACCAGATCCAAAACAATGCAAGCGCCGAACCTTAGCACAACGCCCTGAGGTGCGCTGGAAGACGTCAAGCATCTGCAAATGCTCCTTGTGGTGACTGGAGCGTGGGGTGAAAGTCGGGGAGCTGCTTCCCGCTGGAATCTAAGATGGTGATCTTGAAACCTGCTTTCCCCCTTCCCCCGCGCGCTGGGAAAGGCTAGCACAGTGAACGGACCAACCAGGAGAGGCTCCCGGAACAGGGCTTTACCTCTGATATCCTTCCATTTCTGTGTCTGGAAGCCTGTGGCCACTGATCTTTCCCGACCTTTTGTCCACCCACATCTTCAGCAAAAGAAGCATCAGTCTCCGAGGTCCACGCGTAAGCGTCCAAATCCAAAGCGACTTGTCCAGAGAATTCTGGGAGCCAGTGACTGACTCCGTGGCTCCGTGGCGGGACAGAACGAAAGCAAGGTGCGGTGGGCAAAGCTGGCAGCGGCGACGGTGACCACGCCACGGAGGGAAGCAGGTCCAGGAGCCAGCCAGACCTGTAGCAGGTGTTGCACAAAAGTGCAATCGGACCTATTGTACCAGCCTGCTGAGGTCCGGGCACTGCCCGTTACTGTGACATGCTTTAGCCCGCCCACTTCCACAGTGGGGCTACCCACTGATGTGCGGTTCTGGTTCTGAAGGTGCCAGGACAGCCTTGCACACAAAACACGATACACAAAATACCGCTACACAAAATAATTTAGCAGGCTTGACCCTGCCGTCTCTTTTCGGATGCAACGGGTGACACGTTTTCTGAAGCCACTGTGTATCCAGTCTCGTTCTGGGTTCTTCGTGATTAACTAACTTAACCCTGCATCTAATCTTGCTGTTGTTCCCCCACCTTATAATTAGGAAACTGAGGTCCAAGTGTCAGATTTGGGGCCCCAGAGCCCCAACTCTTAAATAAAATAAAGTAGAATCTGGGTATTAACCTTAGTCCCTAAGGGCTTACCATAGTGTGTTCTAGATGTTATTACTAAAATATATGCACACATGCAAAGAGAAAGAGAGAGACAGAGACAGAGAGAGAGAGAGAGAGAGAGAGAGAGAGAGAGAGAGAGAGCACTCCCCTCCCCATAGATTGTGAGCATATGAGCATAGTCTGCCAATGCTCACACTGGCAGGGAAGACAGCTGTCCCCCTTAGCAGCGGTAAAGGCATGGGCCTCTTAGTCCATTTTCTTCTGTTATAACAGAATGCCACAGATCAGGAAAATTAGGAATTTGGCTTGTTTCTCTAGTTGATGAGACTTGGAAGCCAAGCGCGGCACGATTCCTGCACTACGCCTTTGCCTGATGGAGACGCAGAAGGGTGAGCAGGTGCCTGGAGAAGGGATTCTGAGGGGCAGGACTCTCCTTCCTATGAGGGGCTGTCACAGTAACTAGCCTCCACTGGTAGACTATTAATACCTCAATCCGTTCATGACCCCCTCTTAAAGGCCCCAATACCTTAATAACTGTTAACAATGTCAATTACATCTTAACCGTGAGTTCAAGAGCAGTCAGAGGTGGAAACTGAGACAGTGACCATTCTCCCCACAAACAGAGGCCAGGCAGTGGCTGTTAGAGAAGACGGTGGCCTTCCCATTCCCAACCCAAAGCTCTGGCTAAATCTGAAGGCCTAAGCTGCCAAAGTCAAGGGACATTAAGGTCAGAGTAACCAATTTGTCCTGCTTTGCCCAGAACTTTTCCACTTTTCGGTTCTGAAGGCCCCCACACCCTGGGAAACTTGTGAACCCCAGGAAAGTTGGGAGAGTCACCACCATGATCAAAGGAGAAGTCACAGAAAACTCTCTCACCCCCCTGCCCCAAGCCTATAGGCCACATTTCTCCCATCCCTGTAACAGCAGGAGGTCCCCAAACCCTCCCCGGCAAGCGTGGACTGGTCCTCACTATTCTTAGCCCAAGAACAGCGAGGCCTGTGTCAAGTCCCTAGAGCTTATCTGCAGAGTCCCATCATCTCCCTAGGGGACAAGCTTGGTGGTTGGATTCATTCCCAGCCTTGGGCTAAATGTCCAGGCCTTTTTTCATCTTCTGTGAGATGACAATATTCTCTCTTCATTCTAGACTCACTGGCTATGGGCTTAGAGATGCAGGGGGTGGTCAAAAGCTTTCTCTGTAAAAAAAAAAAAAAAGATGACACAGAGTTAAGTCTTCCGGTTAGTAGACGCACAAAGCATTGTACATGACTCAGTTTGGGAGGCAAAGAAGCTGTAACACCTCCGAGGTATCCCCTGTCCCTGGCCGGCTCTTGGGAGGAGTCCTAGGCCTTAGCGGGGCTGAAGACTTCTCACTCCATGTGGTCCAGACCCATTTAATGATATGAGCAAGCAAACTCCGAGCACTCAGAGAAAACAAATCACCACTCCGTCAGAATACTTGGGGGTAAATTAGTTCAGCAGACCGGCCCGGAGACGTACCCCATGACTCACCCTCACCCAGAGTAAATAAGGGAAGATTAAGTACAACTTGATCGAATCACGCCGAAGCTTGGCACAGAGCAACAAACACATCAGCTCGGAATCTCACAATTGGAACACATAATCTCATAGAATTTATGACTGTTAGTGCTCACCACATATGTTTCTGAGTTACTGTGTGCGAGGCTTTGGGCAAACCGCATTGCTAGGGTCTTGAGGGGGCCTGTCTGCTGATCCGGAACTGTTTGGCGTGATCTCTAGCGTGGCCCCGCCCACTGCAAAGCAGGGAGCTACCAGGGTGGGGGTGGGGGTGGGGGTGGGGGGGAGACACCAGGCGTGTGCCACACCCCAAATGGGCCTCTCTTCAAGTCCTAGCGGAGGTGCTGATAGACCGGCAGGCCCCTTCTCTGGGCCTTAGTTTCCCAATCTGTGAAACACATCGGGCAAAATGAGAGGCGCTGTACGTCTCAGAGACCAAGATCTCTGCAGGCCTTGCATTCTGGGAGTCTGTGAAAGAGCGTCATGGACAGCGTATTTAAAGAGAAGTCGGGGAGTGTAGTGAGGTCCACCTCCACACCTGTAGCACTGACCACGCCCTTTTGGGCATGGTGACTAGTGAGCCGTGATAAGGATTAGGTTTGGGGCTTGGAGCTCTCTCGTGCTTCCTGCTCGGGTCCGGAGAGCATCCGGGTGGCAGGGTCGGCATCCTTGGAAGGGGGAACCTGCGGCAGTCATCTGGTTTTTGTTGTTGTTGTTGTTAGTGCATTCTCCCCGAATAAACTTCACTTAACCTGCACAGAGTCTAGAGAATCTTGATTCCCACACCTACAGGGGAGCTTTGACCTGCTGCGCTCCAAACTAAAGTATCTGGAAGGAAAGGCCAAAGTATCATCTATGAGATCAGTAGTCAACTGGGGTGTGGGAGATGGGGGGCGTGGCTTATGGAAAGGCACACACAGTCCCAGAGGCCAGAGAATGTCAACCATGGGGATCTGGGAGGAACGGGGAGATATCTGGGTACTGAGGGAGGCGTTCTCTCAATCCTGCTGCTCAGGCAGCTAGGGCAGAATCAGGATAGGTTTTCAAATGGGCGTCACCCTGGAACTCCACTCCCATTAATCAAAGCTTTCTTTCTCTCTGAGCCCAGATGTAATCTCATGATTTCTGTCGACAGGAAGGCCACTCCCCTGCTTCAGCCCTGAGACTGTGGATGGTTCAGTGATGTAGGGCGGGTTCCCCACATTCCAATCTGTATGACCTGAAGGTCCCTCCAGGTCCCTTATCAGGGACTCCAGATCTGACGGCAGGGACTCACAGTGCAGACTCATTGGAAAGCCTGGGCAACAGGGACAGGAGTGAGTGGTGTGGGGGAGCCTTCCTTTGCAGGGGATGGTCTCCAGTGAGACCTCGACTCAGTCGCTGAAGCACCAAATGGGATGGGAGATTCCCAAGCTCCCAAGTCCATGTCCCTCAGCTGTCACTCGTGAGAGGACACACATGTAGGAGAAGCAGATGATGTGTAAAAGAATGTGCAGCGGCTTCTCCTTTCCACCCTAGCCCGGATGTGCACTGACCACCTCCTCTCGACAATGCCTCAGCGGTTCAGTCCCCACCAGCAGCCAAGGTCTGACCTTCCCTGGTGAGTCTCCAGCACTGTTGGCGTCACCCAGGGAGCTTTGAGCAAGAGAGAAACGTTTTTCATTCTGCTTGTTCATTTTCATTATGATTTTCACAGCCAATTCTGGGAAATCAGCTATCATAAAAGTCTCTATTCATTATCCATGTTCTTTCAGATGATCTCGGTTTGATTTGAAGTCTAGTTCTGTTAATATTTTGTCTTTAAAAAATAGTAGTGCTGTTTTGCCTTATTTTGTTTTGTTTTGTTTTTTCCCTGATTGCAACTCAGATATCAGCTGAGGACCGTCCTGCCCCTCAGCATCTGCGAAACGTCTGATGGCAGATTGTATTTTTCCAAAAAATGTCCACAACATTATTTTCAACCCCACATGCTCATTCTGAAGCTCTGTGACTCTTCCGTCGGGAGATGAAGGCTGGCTCTTTCTCCTCCTGAGTCTGGCTGGGCCTTTTGGACTGTTTTGACTAACAAGGTGCCCTAGAAAGGACTGTACAGGGTTTCTAAAAAGCTGGGTCAAGAAGTCAGGACAGTATTCATTTACGACACATACCTTTGGAGCCACCGACAGTCGCATAAGCGGTCAGCCACTCTGGTGGTGCCCTGTTGGATGTCTCCCAAGGAGAAGCCATGTAGAGATAGAAAAGTTTTTTTTTTCCCTGAGGATCCCCAGCTATACCAGCTTAGACAGGTGGATGGGGAGGATTGTGGCTGGGGCCCAAGCTATGGATGACATCTGTCTGTGTAGCCTCAAAAGTCTCCCCAGTATCTTTGCTTATTCCCAGAGGAGGATGGATGCTAAGCTCGCGTGTTGTGTTCTCACACGGTGCCTTTGCCCGCCACCCCCCCACATCAATTCTCCCATGGTGACTCTGGATCCTGGTTTTAGGTCCCCACAAACATCTGGGAACAAGCGATTTAGGTGAGTAGTGCAAAACTTAAGGTCATGCTGTGTTGCCGGTGTTTTTTCTTGTCCCGCCTGGTCCTGCCCTCTGCCTTGCCCCCAAATAAACACGCAGATGCTACCTTAGCTATAGAAGTGTTGGCCGGTGACTAGGGCTTCTTACTGGCTGGCTCTGTCTTAATTACTAACCCATTTCTGTTAATCTGTGTATTTCCACGTGGTCTTGTCTTACTGGAGAACTCCTGGAGCGAGCGTCCTTACTGTTTCGCTCGCAGTCTCCCTCTGCCTACCTCTCCCAGAATTCCCCCTCGTCTCCTCGTCCCGCCTATCTCCCTGCCACTGTTGGTCGCAGTGTTTTATTCATCAACCGATCAGAGAAACATATGTAGAGAAGGCCGTCCCCCATCAATGCTGCTAACCACAAGGGATCTTGTCACTTTGCTTTCTCTTCCCCCACCTCGGCCACCGATTGTCATGCTCTTCTCAGGTTGCTGGGGGGGGGGGACACCAGTACTCTTCACTTTCCACGATGAAGAGAACTTATCTCCCTGGAGAGGCCCATTCTGAAACTTCCATACCCAGCCACATCAAGAGTCCGGCCTTTGCCAGAATGCCTCGAGTTCATAGGCAGGCAGTGTTGCTCACGTGCGTGTTAAGTTGTAAAAGAAATTCAGAGATTGAGAGAAGGGGATCAATACTGCCCCAAGCTTACCTGCTATGAACATTTGATCATTGCCCTATTGCGTAGAATGGAACCACACTGTCCTTGCTGTTCAGCTCTGTATTTGCACAGCAGTTGCATAAACATAGCATCATCGAATCCTACTGCACCCATGAGATGTCCGTGGTTTGCTATAATTACCTTCTTTTACACAGGGATGCCGATGAGAAGGAAAAAAAAACGTGGACGTGAACCTAGGCACCCCCAACTCTCTGAGCCATTTGTCCATACTGACATCTCTCTGCAAAGAGGCTCTCTGGGACCTGCGTGCTTGTGCCAGACCCAGCGACTGGGTAGACTGCTCACTCATCCGCTTTAGCAAGCTGAAGAGACTTGAGCTTTCTGGGTGGTTGGTTTGTTAGCCTGGTGGGGATGGGTTCTGTGATGGGGGGGGCTGACAGTCTGTACATCAAGAGAGCTCTGCTTTCCAGCCACCCTGGGGATAGACGGCTTCTGGTGAGTTCAGCATGAGTCATCTGCTTCCCCTGGAGTGTTTATCGCAAGTCATGAGGGCTGTATCTGCTGGGGCCATCTGGGGAAGAAGGATGTACTTGGGAGCTGTCTGTCTGTCCTCAGAGCCTGGAGGGGACTTACTTCATTGGGTAGAAAGTCAGTCTTCCTAGGAGGGAACATGGAGACAGTTCTCCTCCTCCATAGAGTGCACTGATGAGCAATTTTCTAAGCAGAACCCCTGGAGACCAGCATCTGCTCTGGCCCCTTCCCAGGCTGAGGTGGGAGACCCCACACTGGGCGGATGACACCAGGGAGGCGTTGACCTTTCCTTTGATGATACCCCTGGGCCTTGAGCTAATTGTGAAGGAAGAATTCACAACTGAGTTATCATTCTGTCACTCAGCTGCTCCCACAGCTGCTCGTTCTTGAGAGAGGCCAAGAGCAGCCAAATCCTCCCTTCCCATACAACCATGCTAACATCCACCCACCCCTGCCTTCATGACTGCCCTTGACTCCAGGGGCTCAGGAAAAGTCTAGGATAGGAGGGGGAAGGCTGAGCTTTGAATGCATCAATCCAGAATCCAGTCCAGTTACCTGGCAACCCTGGATGCCATGCTTTCTTTATCATCTGAGCCTGGGGTGCCCCAGCATCTTAGGGGAAGCATCCCTTGAGATTAGAGGCAAGCAGCTTCAAGGCGGCCTTTGGAGAGGCAAGGGTTAGAGACTGAGTTGGGGGCAGGGGTGTGGACTCCTCATTATTCATCCAAATGCTTCCCCTCTGTTTACAGTGATCACAGCTGTTGCAAGCCCTGTCCTTTCGCCAGAACGATCTTGGGCTTTCTCCCTGAGGTCTTGCTACTCTGCTGTGTAGCAAAGCCGCCCAGGCCGTCCTCCTGCGGCCTCTTCGAGTCCTGACTGTAGGTTCTCATCCACTCAGATAATAGGCTGGGTACAAGAGCCATGCACAACTAGAATTTAGCCAGCCGGCCACATAAAAGCTACGGTCAAGTCAAGGACTAGTTCTGAATTCAGGCAGTCTGTCCCATTGTCCAGGCACTCTTCAGTCACCTCAGTGACCCCCCACCCCCGCCGTGGCCTTTCACGGTGTGTGTAGTGCAGTCTTTCAGTTTAACCCAGGTATGACAATCATCCGACATCCCTGTTCTTGGCTCTGTTTTCTCACACGGGCCTTCTGTCCTTGAAAAGTCCGCGAATGTTCATAATCTTCTTCCCCCTTCTACTTGGCTAAGACTTCCAAAGAATCCACTACTGATGTTCCTTTGGAGAACAGTAAAATTCCTGCACGGGAAGATGCCATTAGGGTATTGAGATTTTCTCCATCTAGTCTCGGTCCCGCTGGGCCGGTTTCTCTCCACCCGATTGGGTCCCGGCAGCCAGTATGAAATAACCACTCTGAGACTTAGTGTCTATTTATAATTGTTTGCCCACTGGCTTAGGCTTCTTACTGGCTAGTTCTTTCTTAATTATTAACCCATTTCTATTTATCTGTGTATCTACACATAGTCTTGGCTTACGGGTGATGCCCAGGCCTCTTGCTTCCTGGGCAGCTACATGATATCTCTTTGACTCTGCCTACTGCTTTTCTCTATTTCTGTTTGGATTTCCCACCTGGCTAAGTACTGCCTGCCCATTGGCTGAAACAGCTTTATTCATCAACCAATAAGAGAAACATATATTCACAGCCTACAGAAGGACATCCCCCATCATTCAAGAGTGTCCAGTTAGAGTCCTTAGAACTCGGGGGGGGGGGGTGTATGGTAAGTCTGTGCTAAGTGGTGGTGACATAGTGACAACTCTACCACTGTGTGGAATTTATCTTCATTTGAAAGATGCCCTCAGGCATGACTCCAAAAGATAGGTACCCCACATCCTAGTAACCATGGCTGGAAAATACAGACATCTTACACTACCTTCGTGATGTGTAAGAGGGTGACTCAGCTTAGTGTCACTGCCTCAAGGAAACTTTTCTTTATTGATATCTTCCTATTACCTGCTGCTCCTGTCCCAGGATAACCTCTGCACAGCCATGGATGGGGGGGGTCATTCTCTAACCACAGTGCCTGGCGTGTATCTGCTGAAGGAATATTTATTTCTACAACTGTCCATGCATTTCAATGTGTCTCGTGGTAGGTACCTGGCTTTTGGGAAAGACTCAAGAGCTTATGTGTATGAAGGACACAGAGTACCTATATTACTTCTAGGTGAAAGAAATACACTCCCTTTTCCCTTTTAAATCTGATGAAGACAACCCTCAGTTCTCATACCCCTCTCTTGTATTGTCAACTGTAGGGACTCCAAAAGGTTAGAGAATGCTCTTGGCCCCCCAACAATGCTTGAGGTTAGAAGTGGTCATATGACGCAGTGTCAGCCAATGAGCTAGGAGGAGAAATTTGTCTTTCCATCAGACATAGCTTAGAGGTATGAGAACATGAAGTAGTGTTGTGAACAAAGGACTAAGATTCACCGGCCAACTGCACTCTTCCTGAACTTGAAGCAGACATTTGTCTCCAGGATAACGGTTACAAGGCTCCAAGTAAGTCTTGCTGGGGGTAGGGCTGGGGTGGGGGCGGGTTATTGTGGTACCATTCTTCCAGAGAGCTGGTGGGGCACTTCTGGTTCTCTTCAGAGCTGTCCGTCATCAATACTCAAGGCATGTTTGATCCTACCACGCACAAATGGGAACATCCCCTCTGTAACAGGACGTTAGAGCAGGCATCAGCAGAGGTGAGTCACGCTGTGGCAGTACAGCATGATTGACAGAGGAGGCCACGCCCCGGATACCTGCCAGTCCCGTGCTACCCCTCTCGGGCTGAGCTTGCTAAGGAAGCATGAGAACCAAATAGAGACAGTCCTAGGGCTTTGTTAATGTCTTCCGGGCAAAAAAGATCAGTAAAGCGGAAAAGGGATGAGGCCATAGCAAGCAGAAGCTCAGGGGGGCTGCAGGACACCAAACGCTGTGGACAAGGCAACCAGCAAGTAAGAACCACCCGGGCATTGAGATTTTTAGATATGAAGAGCAGCTTGCCCTGAGCGGGTGGCGGGGGCTGATTTTAGAGACCAGAATAACCACTGATGGGAAAGAGGCATTTTCCTCTTAACCTGCTACTGATTCGGAATTTAGAGGAGCTAGCATCTGCCAGCACACGGGAGTATGTGTGTTTGCCTGTATATGTTTGCCCATGTGGTGTGATCCGAGGCCCGGAGCTCCAAGCTGGTTGAAGAAAAAGCTTGTTCAGTCAGAGTCTAGCCCTACTGGACTTCAAGACCCCCAAATAGAATCTACATCGCCGAGAGATGGGAGGAGAAGAGGGCCACATGGGTACCACTCCTGTGTCTGGCTTCTGCCCACATCCATCATTCTCGGAGGAAGCTCTAGGATTGCACCCACCTTGAAGATCCTGAAAGGGGGCTTGATGAGGCCAGACCTTGGGATGGGCAGAGCCACTTGCCATGACAAACTTGGCTAAAGAAAGTCACTTAACCTCTGAGAGCCTTAATTGACTATCTGGAAACAAGGGCTGGCTTTGGGATTGGAGGCTGGGGTGATAACCGACTCTGCTTAGTCCTCAGGGTTAGAGTAAAGGAAGAACTAAGGATGACTGGTGAGTTTTTTTTTAATTGTCAAGTACCGTGACAATTAAAGTGTTATAATTATTTTCCACGACAATAATAATAAGCTAAATTTGATTCTGGCATAAAAATGCAAATAGCTGAAACTCAGAGATGTAGAACAGATCATTTTTTGGGCGGGTGGAGTCATACTTCATCTGCATCTCGCAAAGCTAACAGCAGTGTATGTTGCCACAGTTTTGAGAAGGACCAGAAGAAAAGAAAAGTTCATTAATTCAGCGAGTCCACCCAATTTCTGTCGAATCAAAGGCACGACAATTTATTCATGAGTATGATGCTGAGCCTGGGGGAAAACTTGGTG